CACTTAGCTAACTTTTTCTCATTCATTCAACCTTTTTAACTCTCTCCCCCTCCCTGTATTTCTCTCTCTCTCTCTGATCTGTGAATGCATTAGGGCATGTGGGAATGGTGCAGCGGCAGTGCTGAGGTTATCAGGTGGGGGCATCTTGTTTGAGAACCTGCTTAAATCCCTCACCGCCACTCTTGTGCTTGCCTCAGAGTGATGGTGGCGATAATGCCTTTTGTGCTGTGGAGCTAAGAGTCAGAGAGTCATTGCATTGTGTGTGGTCCTTTACAAGTCACATGTGTTTGTGTGCATGTTTATGTGTGTGTGTGTGTGTGTATGTGTATTGTGTTTGAGAAAGTTTACCTCGCCTGTGGTTTATTTACCTGATGTTTTGCATTGCCGTCCGACTCTCTCTTGTTGCCTCAGAGTTATTCCTGGCAGTGTTTGTAGATTTTGTGTCTCTTTTTCCTTTACAGCCAAATACACAGCTGTAGGAGTGATACAAAGGCTTACCTTTTCAGCAGCTCATTTCTGAGTAGTGATTGATGCTTTGTGTACTCATTAGAATATTCACTTAACCTTAAGAGGATTAAATGGGGAGAGGGGGAACAGAACAATCATTGAGCTCCATTAACAGAAATTAGGTGTAGTTCTCCATGCCAAATTAGCATTACATAATGTACTAGTACTAGTTGGGAGCACTACTTTTCTGACTAAAGAGGAATTTTACTGTACAGCGTTGTACTATGTCATATTACTGCATTAATGGTATTACAGAGTATGACTCTTATAGTGTTTCATGCAGTTTTAGTACATATTTGTTTTATGTGTGTGTATTATTGTTGGAGTTTGGGCTGCTGGTTGGACAAAACAAGCAATGTGAAGACAACACCTTGGAAACAGAAATTAGAATGTGCACATTACACTACTATATGGCGTTTTATAAATGAAACCATACGCTGACTAACTGAGAAAATACATGGCAGATTAAGTGATAATCATCATCTGCAGCCCTAATTCGATGACAAACAGAAATTTGGAGTAAGTGTTTGTTATTGCAGGCAGTGAGATCTCTGTGCTGATGCAGGATCAGTGAGCACAGTCTGTGACTGTACACGCTAATCGTTTGTTTTGACCAGAAGAAAATCTGTTGTGGTTTTTTCTAAATAGAAACATGAAATCAGGATCCTGAAATCAAATCTGTTGTCCTTAAAAGAGCTGTCAGATGATTTTGCAGTCTGAAAAAAAAAAGTGGAAGAAGAAACATAGTTTGGAACCTTATTCTGCATTGATTGGTGTGGTAGACTCACAGTACTACCACACAGCTGTGTAGTGGACTTCAGTTTGACTGGTGTGCTTATTTGTTTACTGAAGTCAGTGGCATTTTGCGAGAGTGTTTCTGTAGCTGGCGCCACGCCAGAGGGAATTCGCCTTCAGCATCTCCCGGAAGTCATAAGCAATTGTTGTAGGGAGGGCTGCAGGGTCAAAGTTTCCGTCAGTCTGGCTCTGTTCACAGCACACACTCAGTTCAAAGTGCTTTGTATGGTATGACATTATTAATTAATTTGATGCCGCTTGCAGAGCTGCGTGGTAATCTGAAGTCTGTTACAAAAACAGAAATCCTACATGGCGCTCATATTAGAGACTGTGTTGGAGCAGCTGGCGTTGCTTTGCACTTGACCTGAACTTGTGCTCACATCCTCAACTCTGCAACATTACATAACTCACTGTGTCATTCTTCCATTCATTGAGGCTCACAGTCTACTCAGACATGACGCTAAATTAACATTGTCCATAAAAGAAAATATGAAAGTCAGGTCTCGATCTTTACTCTGTGCCCATGTTTCACCCAGCTTGACCCAGGCTGTAGGTCAGGCTTACAGCCAGACTCATGTGGGGGGCTTTTAATTCAGGCAGACATTCTTATGGAAACTTCTGACCCTGCCATTAATTGCTCTCGGTCTGTGATTGCAACAATTACTGTCATCCAGGGGCTTTATGTCAAGCTGCAGGTTTGCTGGTTAATGAGTGGGTGGATGTGTGTCCCCTGGGACCAAACCATGTAGCTGAGTCAGAAGCAGGAATCTGACTGCCCTTCTGACTTCAAGTTATTTCTGATATTCCTGAAAGTGAAAGTTAGTGACTCACTCCCTTATGAGTAGGGGAAGGAGTCTGCTGTATGAATCTCTGGAGCGCTCGCATCAGGTTAAGCATAGGTATTGTTCTCCATCACATCACGGTTTCTGTAGGGGTGTCCATTGGGGGATTGGGACTTAATCCAATAGAAACAAGGACCCCCCTTCCTTGTCTCTCTGCCTTACTAAAGTGGACACATAAACTCTAATGTCTGACTGGTAAACTGCACGTGTGTGTAATGATATTCTTACTCCACTGCTGGTCAGTGATGAAGGCAGTGTTAAACTGTACTTCTCTCTCATTTAAAAAAAAGTTACATACCCTAATAGAAAAGGACTATATTTATGATCAGCTAGTGTTTTGCAGTGCATGGTGTGTATGCACTCTCTGTTTGACAGTAAGGTCCCCAGTGTAAATTGCCTACATAAGGTCTGGCACGTCTTGAACTACTTCCCCTGATTGCTGCAATATAGGCCAATTTATGCTTAATTCAGATTCAACAGCCTTCACAGCCTCATTTCTCAGTACTTTGTCTTAAAGTGAAACTCATTTTTTTTGTTTCTGCTGTTGAAATGCTGATAGCAGCTCTATTGTTTTGCTTTGAATGGTTTTATTCTTCCTCTGTGTTTGTGTGGAGCGTATCATAGCAAATGTCTAAAAAGCGTGTTGGAGTGTTTTCCTGGTAACCCTTGGTACTAACGTTGCAGCAAGTGTTGGGATTAAAAGGCATCATGTTGGTAAGAACACTTAATGTTTCCTGATGAGGGACACCCCTTTGAACTCAGCAAGACTTCTCCTGCCAGCTGCTCACTTTATCAGAACTAATTACCTCGAATCAAAGGTTGTCCGCATTTCACTATACTTTGTGTTACAGGAGACAGTATTAGTAGTAGGTTTTCTCTTGTAGGGAATGTAATTTTGGCCCAGAAGTACATGTTACAGACAGCATAGAAAAGCATGCCAACACCTTAACACATGCTGTTTATTTAAAAAGCATAATATCTTACTTTTATATAAATACTGTACTTTTAAAAATCACATCAATTTCCTTCCAACACCTGCTTTGCATCTTGACACTTTGGCATGATAGTTTATGAAAACAAATATTATTTAAAACATTTTCCTTAAATTACCACTTGTACTGTATATTGTAAGTAAACTATTGAGTTTTTAAATGCACTAAATGCAAGTCCTTTGGTTGCACTTTAAGAAAGAAGGCAAGGAGAGCTGTTGAGACAACCTGATATACAAGTATGGAAACTTTTTCTCCATTGCACTTCTGACACTTAACTTAAATGACTACACAAGGCACTTTGCCTGGTTTAGGCCGTTTACTAATATTATAAATAATATACACCACTAGCAAAAGTTTTTAGTGAGTTTATTAGCACATCTTTGCCTGTTTACACATCCAATAGGCACATAACATCAGAATTTATCTGGAGTCATTTATCCAGCATATGTGCTGTAAATCAATATTGAATCTTCCTTTAAATCAGTTTTAGGTGAAATATCTGGTGCCTTAGCTTTAACTAGCTGCTAAACACTGCGTTCACTGGCTAGTTCATAACTCTGTCCATCTGCCATTTGGTGCAGGTACTTTACTGTGTGTTCAGCGCATGGATGGATTATGAGACATTGGGCTCCTGGGTAAGGACAGATTAAAGGGCCCTCATCTGTCCTAGGTAGGATCCCCAGACAGATACGGTCACCTCATTTGTAGTTGTTTAGTGCATGTAGCCTTTTTGGTTTAGTCTTTTTTGGCCATTTTTAACATCCTTGAAATTATTTAGTTTCTTTTTTTGTCATTTTGCACCCGTTTGAAGTCAAGTTGTCTTTTCATGGTCTTTTAACAGTAATTTTACATAGTTTTTAAAGTAATTTTGTCTTTCTATAGTATTTTTCATGTCTTTATGGTTTTGTGTCTCTTTGATTTTGTCTTTGTCTTTTAACTGAGCTCTCTGACTTTCAAACTGCAGATATGTAGCTTCATACAGAGGCACTGGCCCAAGGATCCTTTGACCTCTCCGGCCTAGTAGGCCTGTCCAATCCATCCATGCATCGAGATGAAAGCAAGGCTGATGAGAGGGGAGTTTGGAGGCTAAAACAAAACACTGAGCTCAAAGATACTAAAATGCTTTGCAGAGCTGCTGAACTGGGTAATAATTTATTGTGGGTTCATCAAGTGACTCTTTGAGCATTTAACATCGTACCAATTGTCTATATAATAATACTG